GTCCTGCAGGTGGAGCAGCAGGGGCTCCTAGTGGGCCAGGCTGACCGCAGAATCTCCAGCAAGCTGAGGTCATGGCCGGACGCCACAGGGCCTGTGTTCTGAGGGTCCTCACTCCCCGCTTGGTGCCCACAGGGCTGCACACTGCTGGGGCGGGGACAGTTCCTGCAGGGCTCGCTCTCACTGTTACTGCTTCCTGGGAGGTGCATCCCTCCTGGTCAAGTGGCCTAGCGCCCCCCGGCCACCCTGACTCCCCACCATTCCCTCCTGCGGCAAATGCACAGAACGTCTTGAGGGAGATTTTGGCAAGTGCCCGTTCCAGATGCCACAGGCAGGGGATGTTTAGTAATCTAGGATTTCTCTGAGAACTGGGATGTGTGGCTTTTTTTTTTGCTTTTTATCTTTTATCTGGAAGCTGGCTTTGGGTCAACCCCAGGAGTGTTTGCAGAAGGCCCAGCACAGTGGGGGGTATTAGCCGCAGGGCGGGGAAGGCATTGCTGACCAGATGCCCGTGTGAGCTTGGACTGGGCGCTGGTGGTTCTTCCCAGAGGAAGGGAATTTCCTCCCGGCCTGCCAGGTCTCTGGGCCTTCGGCGCAGGTCCCGGTGCTGCAGCCACACCACCCCGGAGTGCTTGTTGACGGAGTTGCCATAATGAACTTGAAAGGACGGGACTCAGAGGGAAGCTGGGGCTCCCCTGCCTGCAGGAGAGGATCCCCGTTCTTCAGACTTCTCTGCTCAGTGTCTACTAACGACCGACATTTGCTAATGTAAATAATAGTAAATTATTGAGAATTCTAATTCTTTTACACAGTCTGTTTTTAATCTATTTTAATTAAATAAAATCTATGACTCTACTTTGGTCTGTCCAAGATATTTGTGTATAAAGGCGTGATTCTTTCTGTCCCCTGCCTTGGGACAGGGTGGAAACCAAATCCTGACTCCTCGGGCCTGGCCCCTCCCCCTCTTCCTGTCACATTCCGTGAGTGAGAAAGTGCGCTGTGTTCTTACCCCAGGGAAACCATCTGCCCGGATTGAAAAATGGACACACAGCTTGTTTTCTTTTGGAGGGAGAAGGGGGTTGACTTAGGGTTTGTTTCTTTTCCTCCATTTTTCTTTTTGGCAGCCGCAGGAAATCTCTTTGATGGCCCAGCTGCAAAGCACATGGACTTCCTTTGGTTTTGCGTTCCCCTCTGCCTTCCAGCTGTGTTGTTTAAACCATCTCGATTTCAAATAGGCTAGTAGGTGGCTCACTCTGGGGTTGACCATTTGCCTTGTTTTTCTTGATGCGTCAAATTTGGTTCTGTGCAAAGATGGGGCTCCCTGTTTGGTAGCTGAGGTTAGAATTGATCAGCGTGTTCGGTCGATGCCATCTGACTTTCAAGGATTGATTCACGGGCTCGTCTCATCCGTTTCACAGACCTGCTTCTCCCCAGCCATTCGGTCACTGATGCAGCTTCTTTGGCCACCTCCTTGCTCAGGCTGTGTTCCTCTGTCAAGACTCAAATTTGGCTCCCCAACCCCATCCCCTGTTCAGCCTTCACTGAAGAAGCTTTACCGTTCCCAGTCCGTGCGCAATGAGGTCAGCTATCACTGCTCAGTTTAGCTGGTGGTTTTGCCTGCACGTATGGGCCCAGTGTGGCCAGATCTCCTAGTTTTTCAGTAAAAGCTAGAAATCTGACAACTCTTTGTGAAATATCCCAATTTTGAGGTGTTGGCAAAAAATACATAAATACGTAAAAATAAACAAAAATAGATTAGGAACTTGACCAAGCGAAAGAATTGTGAATTTTCAGCCTCTAAACTGTCATTTCAGAAAATCGATACCAGAGCATTTGAGGTTCATGTGTGAATTTTCATTCTTGCCCACACATTCCTCTGGGGACCGGCTTCTCTCCTAATTCACTCTCAGGCTCTTTGTGCTGCTCTGGCAATAAGAGACCCTTGGCTGCAGTGGCTTGGACACTGCCCTTAGTCACCGACAATTGTGTGAAGGCTGCTGTCATAACCTCCACTTACTACCTGAGGCTCCTGTGAAGTAGTGGGCAATTCAAACAAATTCCCATTGCCACCTAAGTTTCCCATCTGAAAAGTGCTTTCGGCACACACTATTTATGGGCTGAGGAATCATCCCTTCTTTGTCTGTTTTGTAATAAATGCTCATTTTCATGTATGAGGCCTGCCTAAAGTGAAAAATGCACAATGTAAACATTGCCTAGGCCCGCTTGTGATGATTCCTCCAGAACTGACACTCTCCAGCACTTCCCTCGTCGCGGGGAGGCACACGAGCATAAGCTACCTGGTAACGGAGCCGACTGTGGGCTCATTTGTAAGCATACAATTCTCATGGCTGTAACATTTATTAATGGAAGTATACTCGGGGGTGTTGGCAGCCAAACTGCCCTGAGAAATGTGTCCTAACCTTCACTAGTTTCTCCTGTTGGGGATAGAACACATTCTTGGCTTTCATTTTAGAAGCATTCTGTCAAATTATAAGCCTTTTTACTGCAACTAAAATTTCTGTCCCCTGTCCTCTGCGCCTTCTGCAGACCAGTATTCTCCTCTAGGCCCAAGGACTTTAAAATGCAGACTGTATTATTTTTCAGGATGGCAAGACCAACAGATGAGGAGGCAGCTGCCATTGAAAAGACAGTTTGCTATATAGGCAGATCCCAAGTCAAGGGGCCACATATGCCCTGGGGGAACCATGTGAGAAGCACCAGGGTAGGTCAGGAGGCAGAAGGAGCAGGAGAAGGCATAGCAAGAGTCTTTACTGTGGTTTCTGTGGGGAGGAGATAGGCAGGCAGACTAAGCAGTCTTCAAGATTGGCCAGTTTGATAATTTCAGCAGGCTCTGGGGAATAGGGGCTGTACCTAGTCGTCTTGTATCTGGTCCTGGGGTGATTAGGGCAGATGGATGGTGGCCCAGAGTGTGGAAGCCAGTAAGGGTGGTTGGATGTGGGCTCTGGATGGATTGGTGTGCCTGTGCCAAGCAAACTAGCAGATGAGTCCTTTATCATCTCTAGGAACTGGCTAATTCCTGGAGGGGCAGTCCAGGGTCAGCAAGACCCCATGATGTCAAAGCATCAAATACAGAAACTAGAAACCATGGTGATGACACACACCAATCCCTGTGGACCCCTGGTTGATGGAGAGATTTGATTTTATCTTTTGCGGGAACACAGAGAAAACCCACGCCCATATGCTTCATGCCAAAGGCCTTCCAACATGAACAAGGCTATGTGTAGATGTACGTGTTGCTTTTAAAAATTTGAGTGGGTGATATATTTCTGCGGTCCAAAAATTAAAAAGCTTTGAAAGGTTTTGTAGAAAGTATCACTCTGCTTCCTGTCCTTATTCTACCCCTCAAAATGGATTAGTTTCTGGTATATCCTGCCAATATTTCTTCATGCAAATGCCAAACAAATGTAAGCATACACTTTTTAGACAATAGCTAAAAGAATTCCTCTGGAGTCTATATAATTTAGCATTTATGGTCAATAATAATGTGTCTTGAAGCTTTTTTCTGTATCTTCGTCTGTTTATCTATCTTGTCTACCTGAAGCACTTCGGAAATAGATGATCTGCTCAAACTTGATGAGTTTTGCTTCTAAAGGGCTTGGCTGATGTGCAGTACATCATATATTAAGTGTAATTTTATTATTATTCTGGGCAAAGCATTACACTTTCTGTTATTCACTCCTGTCTGTTTTGGGGGTGGAGGTGAGGATAGGGGTGGTGGGGAGGTGGCCAAGGACGGTGAATTTGCCACAGGCCAAGGGGATGCTCTTGGTCTTACAGAGAGTAACCTTGAGAGCAAACTTGTCTCCTACGGGCACACTCATATTAAACAGTCTTGAGGTAGAAGTCTAAACACCAAAATAGCTGCCCATGTGTATATTCACAATAGAAATAACTGACCCCAAAATCAGAATACTTAGAAATCATGTCCTGTCAGAGTATTTACTCCCTACAAGTGGGAAAAGTCAAATAATGATCTAAATCTGGCTCTGCTAATATAGAAAATGTAATAGAGGGAATTAATTACATTAACGCCACTAGAAATATTATTGTACCAAGACTTTGGAGTTTTCCCAGAAGGCACTTTCACACCAAAAAAAAAAAAAAAAAAAAAAAAAATCCATAAATAAGCAATTTTTAAAAGTGACTATACCATGCTTTTTCTTTCACCCTATGAACAAGTGAAAACTTGACGTAGGTAATGAGTGTATTGGAAATCTCTGAGTTGAATGAAGAGACAACAGGAACGAATTCACCCATGGAAGTCTAAGCCATAGTATCTCTCATGTCAGAGTGGCCTTGCCAATAGTGTGACTGAAATGTTCAGATGTGGGTTAGGAGGGAGAACCCTCTTCCTGGTCTTCAAGAGTCCCAGCTCACCAGGGAAACATTTCTCCAGGAGGAGTGTGATGGTGGGAAGACAGGGCACTTATATTTCCATGCTCTAACTGTGTCCTCTTGGATGGAACTATTATGGTTGACTGCTGGATTAGACACTCAACGTTGGTTGGGATGGTCTTGATTTCCTCTCCACCAGATGGTGCTTGATGGGCAATGAACAAGTTTGCTTCGGCAGTGCTACTGCAGCTGACTGCCCTTCCTCTAACACATTCTTCCTTAGACACTTCAGTACATTTAGACAGGTCTTACAGCCAAGATTCAAGATCTATTCTTTCTATTCAAAAAGAATTTGAATGCATCATTTATTCTAATAAATTAAGTGTCAATTTTGGAACATAACATACAAATAGCATAACATACAAATGATTTTATTTTATTTTTTTAATGACAGGATCTCCCTCTGTCACCTAGGCTGGAGTGCAATGGCATGATCATGGCTCACTGCAGCCTCGACCTCCTGGACCCAAGTGATCTTCCCAGCCTCTCAAGTAGCTGGGACTACAGGTGTGTGCCACAATACTTGGCTAATTTTTAAAAAATTTTAATAAAGACAGGGTCTTGCTATGTTGTCCGTGCCAGTCTAGAACCCTTGGGCTCAAGCAGTCCTCCTGCCTCAGCCTCCCAAAATGCTGGGTCCAAGAAGAAAGAACAGATCTGGAGGTGGAGATTTGGGAGGATCATAACAGAAGAGGAAATACGTAAAGCCATGAGAATGGACTTGATCACCACAAGAGCAGGTATAGAAAGAAAAAGAGTTCTGAGGACTGAGCCCCAGAGCTCCCCAACATTAAGAGGTGCCAGCAGAGCAGAGTGAGGTACATGTGAGCTTGTGTTATGCAGCAAATGCTAACTGATACAGGGCTAATTTCCTTCCTGTGCAAGGAGCTCCTACTCCTCTTTCTTATTCAAAGAACCCCTATGAATCAGTAAGTAAAATAATAATAAAAGGAGAGTGAGAAGGGCCAGGGAATATGAGAAAAGTGAGGAGAATGAGGAGTCTTGGAAGCCAAATGAAGAAAGTGTTTCAAGGAACAGCCAAGGATCAGTGCATAAGAGATAGTTATTATACATACGATGAGGATGGGAAGAGAATGCCAGGTTTGAACCCAGCGGAAGTCACTGTTGACCTTCACAACAGCAATTTTTAGTGGAGTGGTGAGGGTGGCAAAGATATGATTGGAATAAAAAGGTGTATAGTAAAACTTCTCCTTCTCCCTCCTATCAGTCATCTGCTCATTTCCCAGAACCCCTGCCCCCACCCAGGGAACCACTTTTATTAATTTCTTATTTATACATCAAGAGTTTTTATGCAAATATAAGTATACATGGAAAATATATATTCTCACTCTATAGTTTTTTACATAAAAGTTAGCATTTTAAGTATACTTCTCTATACCTTGCTATTTTCCTAAGCTATCCTAAGGCTCTTTCCTATCTGTTCTTAAAGAGCTTCCTCATTCTTGGTTGTCTTCTGTACAATGGTTCATTATGGACATGCCCTGACCAGTTCCCTGTTGATAGACATGTGGGCTGTCTCCAGTGTTTTATTGTTGATTATACAAAAAATTCTTCAGTGAATGACCTTTTCACAATACATGTGTGGGTATATTTATAGGGCAATTCTTCCAAAGTGGATTTCTGGGTCCAAGGGTAGATTATAATTTGGTAGATGTTGCAAATTGCCACAGGAGTCATACCAGTTTGCATTCCCATCAGCAACATGTGTGAATACAGTTAAGTCTCTATTGATGGAAAGTGAGATTACTTCAAATATTTTGCCATTGCAAAATAAGAAGCAAAGGATACACCTGAATATGCAAAAATTTCTTATGCATGAGAATATATTTGCAGAATAGAGATCCTGATTGATTTGTAGTGGTTCTTTCTATCATCACGTGAAAGAAATTAGCCCTTGTATCAGTTAGCTTTTACTGTATGAGACAAGCTCCAAAGTGGATGGCTAAACAGCTGTTTATTCAGCTCCTGGTTCTTTGGGCCTGCAATATGGATTGGGATTAGCTGGGTGGTTCTGCTCTTTGGGGCCAGGCTGGGCTGATCTTGGCTGGGCTTGTTGAGGAACAGCTAGGGTGGGAGTGCTCAGCCGGGTGGTTTTCTTCTTTCTGCTCCATGTGATCAATCAGCCTCCACCTAGCTGGTCTAGGCTTTTTCACAAGGCAACTCATGGTTCAAGAGCAGTCAGAGACCAAAAGCCCTTGCACAAGTGCTTTTCAAGCCTCTGCATCACATTTGTACTATCCCATTGGCTGAGGCAAGTCAAGTCCAGTGTCCGTGTGGTAAGACACTACCCAAGGGCATGGATACAGGGAGGCATGAACAAATCTGGGTCATTACTACAACCAATCCATGGTGGGCCACAAAGGCCTAATCTTAATTCTCTGTCGTAAGTATTTTGGGTTACCACTCTAGTCCGTTTATTGATAAAGCAAGGGACTGTGCTAGAAGTGGCGATGATCCTTGAAGCAGCTGATCACAACAGTTTCAGTTCTGGAATATGAGCTTCCTTACAGTGAAGCTCTTGCCTTCTGTAGAGAGACCATTCATAATGGTGATGGAGCCATGAGGACTGGGTGCAGGACTATGCAGAATGTGGAATGGCCTTGCTTTCTGGCTTTAAACACAGATTTTTATTTTCCAAAGCTGTCTTCTTTCCTTCACTGACCAGGTATCCCTCTGGCATTCCACACAACCTGGCAGGACAGGTTTGATCTCTGCTGATTTCAGCTGCCAACATGTTTCAGTGGAAACAGACCACATCCAAGCCACAGCCTTCAGAATCATGCTGGGACAGTTAGGTGACTGAGCAGAAATTTTGACTCATCGAAAATAGTCTTCCTGACCCTTGTTCTCATCTAATTTATATTTTTCATTTCATAAATGGAGTTGACTTGACTGAGTCAGACCAGGAGCCTGCTATTTTGGGGAGAAAAGTCTATAATAAAATCCATGAAATTAGTCCTCTGAGAGTGTGGGCAGAGAGGTGACAGTGACTGTGCAACCCTTGAGGCATGAGTGTTTCTGTGACGTGATGTTGTCATCCACATGCAGGCCTGAGAAACCAAGGAGAGCCCTTGAAAGGGGGCAGGAAGAGGAGGAGAAAGAGAAGTGACTTTTACTGAGCACCTACTGCATTCCAAGCACAGCACAAGGCACTGTGTATACAGAGACACGTAAGATGCTGTCTCAGTCCTGAATAGACATCAGCTAATATGTAAGAAATCCCACAAAAACACGGTATCAAGAAGGAAGAGGAGAAGGTGGAGCAGATAGGGAAGGAGGAAAAATAAAGAAACAAAAGGAATTACACCAAAACAAGGGTAGTGAGAAGGTACGTCAAAGACCAACTACCTGATGGGGCATTGGAGGATTTTCTTAACCACTGTTGAAAGAGGCCCTGACTATTTCAGTCTCTGGTTCGCCTGCAGATAGCATCAACTCATGGAGAGTTTGAGCTTCAAATCCACTCCTGGCTGCAGGGGCAGGATCCACAGCCTGTTTATCCCTGAGACTACTCCGCACTTCCAACTCAGATTTGAGAGTTAGAGTTATGTGGCCTGGAAACTTCTTTCTCTAAGCTAAACTCCTTTGACATGTGATTGGCATCCAGACAAGAGCTGAGCTGCTTAAAGTCCCAGGAACTCCTTCAGGGGCCCTTGGATCTTATTAAATGAGATCAGAGCCCTGGTGTGTCCTGCTCAGTGCCAGCATTCCTACTCTGAAAAGACGCCTTGCACACAGAAGGCGAGAAACAACCACGCGTTAAGCGAGTGTGTCGTTGTGTCTGGAACAGGCTGACGCCTTTCCCAAAGCACCCAGGGTACCCCAGGGAGTCTGAATTTTCTCTGGAAATGACCCCTTCATTCTTTCCCAGCTTGATTTTCAGTCGTCCCGGGGCGGCTGTGAGAGGGTATTTGCTCCTCTCCTTCACTGGAATTTCTCCTCCCGCTTGCCAGAAAGAGAAGAAGAAAGAATGAGGAAGTGTACATGACAGGTTCTCTGGGTCTGGCTTATTTGTTCAAGGAACACATTTGGGGCCAGCACCCAAGGATAAGGGGGGGCCCTGCCATGCTCCCCTGGGGACCGTGGAGGACAGGGTGTTTGGTTTCTGGGCTCATCAGAAGCAAGGTGGCAGTTGAGGTTTGGAAGATCCCAGCTCATCCAATGGGCAGCAGCCAGATGGCAGGAGCTCCCCCACTGAGCAGGTGGGCTGTGGTCTGGATCCCTGGAAGCCACACAGGCCTGGGGGGCACTGGCTCCGCTCTGCCCCTGCCCTGTGCCCATGGGGAGGCTGGACTTCGGACTGGCTTTGCTGGAGCACCCGGGCACCTGATGGGTAGAGCCTGGCCTGGACCCACCTTGTTCTGTGTGGAGCCCTGATGCCCAGCCTTTCTTCTGCCAGGGATCCTGCTCCCATATTTCATGCTGGAGTGTGTGCCCTCTCCAATCCCACGGCCCCCAGAACCACTGCCCTGTCATCCATCAAGTACAATGTGGCATAACCAGGAGCGGGGCTCCTGATGGATTCATCACTTCATATGTTGGGTTTACAAACCTGTACCTCCCTTCTCTCTCTCTCTCTGTCTCTCTCTCTGTCTGTCTCTCTCTCTGTCTCTCCCCCTCTCTCTGTCTCTCTGTAACACACACACACACACACACACACACACACACACACACACAGATCTCAGAACCCACACCACCCTTTCTGTGTGGCTGGCTCTATTACAGTGAGCTAGAAGCCAGTTTTGGAGATGAATTGACTGGAACATCTCTACAAAGTTATATTTTCACAATTTTTTTTTTAAGAGACAGTGTCTCTCTGTGGCCCAGGCTGGAGTGCAGTGGTGCCATCACCATTCACTGCAGCCTCAACCTCCTTGGCTCAAGTGATCTTCCCACCTCAGTCTTCTGAGTAGCTGGGACTACAGGCACATGCCACCATGCGCATCTAACAGGCTTGATTAGAGTTTATCATTGACTTTATTATCTTCTTGATAATTAATCTGAAAAACCGACATTGAGCAGGGCCTAGATTATGGTTTCCTTGGTAGGTTGGCGGGAGTACCTCCAATTCTTTAGCAAGCCTGGCTGTTTTCCTTCTCATACACAAAGTGGTCAAGCCTGCTCTTGGCAACCATGATTGACTGCGTTCACTCCCTTCCCTGATTCTGTCATCCAGATAGGTCCAAGTGCCATTCTGTTGTTACTTGCTTGCTATTAGTAATTGTTACTATACTTCAGTAGTGAAGTAATTATTGCTGTAATTATTCCCTTATAGTTATGTGCTTATTTATTCATTTTTATTTATTATTATTATTATTTTTTGAGACAAAGTTTTGCTCTTGTTGCCCAGGCTGGAGTGCAGTGGCGTGATCTCGGCTCACTGAAACTGCCACCTCCTGGGTTCAAGCGATTCTCCTGCCTCAGCCTCCTGAGTAACGGGGATTACAGTTGCCCGCCACCATGCCCAACTTTTTTGTGTTTTTAGTAGAGACAAGGTTTTACCATGCTGGCCAGGCTGGTCTTGAACTCCTAACCTCAGGTGATTTGCCCACCTCGGCCTCTCAAAGTTCTGCGATTATAAGCGTGAGCCACCGCGCCTGGCTAATTTTTTGTATTTTTAGTAGAGATGGAGTTTCATCATGTTGGCCAGGCTGGTCTTGAACTCCTGACCTCAGGTGATCCACCTCACCCTCCCAAAGTGCTGGGATTACAGGCGTGAGCCACTGCACCTGGCCTGTAGTTATGCATTAATAAGTGTCAGAGCTGCTGTGGTAAGCCACAAAGGCGGCACTAGAGCACAGTCATTGTACAGTCTTTGGGATCAAACTGACCCAAGTGCAAACCTGGCTAAACCACTAAACAGCCATGTAACTCTGAGCCAGTCACATGACCTCTCTGAGCCTCAGTTTACTCAACTGAAGACAGAGAGAATACTTGTCCTGGTCATTATGGGAATTAAATGAGATAAAGGATATAAATCTGTTAGCACAATGTCTAGGATACGTGGCCCACCAAAGATAGAGTCTGTTACTAGAGATCTATTTTTGGAGCAATCTATATTAGAGTTTGGTCTAGAAAAACTTGTATTTGTTTCCTTACAGATGAAGCAAGCTGTTCATATTAATGTATACCAATTTCTATTTCTAAGTGAGTGTAAGAGGGGTTTGCGTGATTCACAGCTTGCGTGTGTGTGACTGGGTTCAGAGGGAAAGCCAGGGCCTGTTCGTTTCTGAGGCTGGAGCAGACCCCGCCCTCCCGTGGGCACCCTGTGCTTGCTGGTGCGGTGAGCTGGACGCGTCATTGCTCAGACTCAGTAAGACTTTTCTCATCTCTTCAGGGCTAATTCAGATGAAAACGCTCAGCACGGATCTGAGGAATGTACCGTAGGACTGGGACGGAGGGAAACAGGGTGAAGAAAGCAGCTGAAGATCAGTTTGTTTTGAAAGTAACCAGCTTTTGTGCATCACTGTTTACACTTGTGGAAGAAAGGCCCTGGGGCGTGCTGTAGAATTGCAGCCTCCCTGGTGGGTGTTGGCCCTGCTGTCTGTCCCTCTTGGAGGAGCTGAGATGCCGCCTGGCCCCCTTGTCCCCCAGACATAGGCACTCACACGCAGAATGACTTCACAGCCCAGCTCCTCGCTGCCTTTAACTCAGTGAATCTGCTGTCGCACTGTTTGTTGACCTTGAGGTACAAACGCCTGATTGTAGTACAAGGAGTCGTCTCTTCCCTGGGTATTAAAAACATTGTTAGGGGTCAAAATCTCAAACCAAGAGAGCAGGCTCTGATGGTAGGATTGCAGCACTCAGCCTGTGGGCAGAGGAAGGGTGGGGGATCAGTGTCACAATAAAGGAAAATGCCTGGTCCTACCCAGAAGTCAACCCTGAAAATGTTGAATATGGACCCTGAATTGTCTTAGCAAAGCTGTGATGAAATGACAAGCGGACTTGTTAGAATCCAGTTTCCTCTATGAACGGACTTGATGGAAAGCCAAGCATGTGAGGGAAGCCCCTGGCCTACCATACCGTGTCCTGCTTGAAGCTTTTGGGAGTTTTCAAGGAGGTGCAGAGATTTTAGTTTCTGTAAAACCACTGGATAGCTGTGATCATGACCTCAAAGTCCATCCTCCTCCACTGTCTTCCTTCTGCTGGAAATTAAAAGGATTTGGGCTTTAAGTCTGAGAGACATGGGTTTAAATTCTCCTTCTGCCTGCATTCAATCACTGGTCTCACAAGCAGGTGTAGGGCAGATACTCTGCATGGGCTCTGGGGCTATAGACAAAGCAGATGAGGGTCCTGACCCTGAGGGGGTTTACATTCTAGCTGGAATGACATGCAATGCAGTGGTTAGTTACAACAGGGATTGTGACCAGGTAAGTGCATGTACCATGGAGAAACCCATGTGGCTGCAGGTCCACGGGGGCTTTCATGAGTGAGTGACTTAACTGAGCGCTGAAATGTGGAAGGAGGATAAGTGAGGGGGTGGGACGTAGAGCAGAGCAGCCAGAGAGAGAAGAGCATGTGCAAAGGCCCTGAGGCAAGAAGGAATCTGGCCCAAGCATGGTGACACTTCAGTTTACTACCTGCTTCCCTATATTGGTCAAGAAGAGTGAGTGAGGCTGGGCACAGTGGCTCAGGCCTGCAATCCCAGCATTTTGGGATGCCAGGGCTGGGGGATGGCTTGAGGCCAGAGGTTTGAGACCAACCTGGGCAACATAGTGGGACCCCCATCTCTATAAAACGTTTTTTAAAAGTATCCAGGGGCGGTGATACACATTGTAGTCCTAGCTACTCAGGAGGCTGGAGGATTACTTGAGCCCAGGAGGTCAAGGATGCAGAGACCTAGGATTGCACCACTGCACACTGCACTCCAACCTCGGTGACAGTGTGAGACCCTGTCAAAGGAAAAAACGAAAGAGTGCATCGTAAAGAACAAACAATGAGTGTGAAGTGCCACGTTGGCTGGCTCATAATAGGTCTTCTCTTTTGTCCAAGGACTTTTGAGTGTCCACCTCCTTCTTATTAAAGCCCACTCAAACTTTGCTTTTCTTGAAAAAGGTGGAATTTAGATGATTTTGCAGCAGTTGGGATCCAGGAAAGCCAGAAGCCCCACGTAGCCCAGGACTGGCCTGTGAATGATAAAGAGGTGGAACTGTGTTACTGAGCAAACGAGTAGGTGGCAGATGGCTACTGCCTCAACAGCTCTTGGTGGGATTGGGTGCTCGGATGTGCGTTTTCCACTGCACCTACCTTTGTCAAAAAATTACTGGTTCCTTCCTCACACTGCATGAACAAGCCACACGACTATAGGATTTCTCAGAGATAGGTCTCCACAGAGCCTTAATTGTTCATACGGATAGATTAATTATTCAAGCTGATGAATCAGGGGGTGCAGCGCGTGGGTTCACCAGTAAAACAAGAGCCCGCGTGGACAGAGTTTGGCAGAGACAAGACCTCCTGCTCTGCCCAATTTAATTTAATGCATGCCCGGGCGAGGGGTTTCTTCAGTCCTGACTTACCCTTGACTTCTAGGCTGCACTCTGGCTTTCAGGAGTGACTTCTCTAACACCTTCTGGACCAGGAGGAGAAGCATTGTTAGGGCTTGTCCCTGGGGTGTGGCTGGGCTCCGAGGCCAGGCTATGTTGATCTTGAATTGAGGATGGCTCTGCCAAGGTTGCTTTTGTGTTTGCTTCTTGATCGCTCGTTGTGAAATGTGTTTGGTAGTAGTCATGAAGCAGATCTTTGGCATACATTCTCATCCCAGCAAGGAGTGCATGAAATTCAAAATCGGCAGAGCCAAGGAGAGGGAGCTCAGGCTCCACACCCATGTGGAGTCCTCGGAGATGTCCCACCTGGATGGCGGGAGCAGCCTCTCTGGGGCCTCTGAACGCTCTGCTGCCCCACGTCACCTCCTCACCCTGGCAGAGCCCGGCTCACTCCGGGGACCCCACTTTCCTTTCACTGCTTCCAGGAGAGGCTGCTAATTTTCCATGTCCTCCAAGGTCTGTGCATTACCACTTGCAGACCAAAAGCTCTCTCCTGCCCAAGCACCAGTATCTCTGAGGCTCCAGCTCCTCCACCCTCCATTCCATCGTCCAGGGCCTCATAGTTCCTCATGGTGCCTCCTCACTTGCAGGCATGCTGACAGTGCAGCCTTAGTGCCTCGTGCTCTAGCTCTCCAAACACACTGCCTTCTGCTGGCCTCGGACACGCACTCCCGTGGCCACAAGCTGGATTCTAATGATATGAAACTGTGCAACCTATAAAAGAATAAAATCAAACCATATATATATATATGTATATACAGATGTGTATATATATACACTTGTATATATACATACACTTGTATATATACACAAAAGTATATCTACATGTATACACATGTATATATGTGTATATATACACATATATAGTATATATACACATATATAGTATATATAGTATATATACACAGACATGTGCATAATGTAGTGTATATATAGTACATACATACACAGACTATATATGTGTATAATGTAGTGTATATATATACACAGACATATATATGTGTATAAATACACATATATGTATAATGTATACATACGTGTATATATAATTGTGGTAAAACATAGATAAAATTAATCATTTAAACCATTTTTAAGTGTAAAGTCCAGTGGCATTTAAGTACATTTATAATGTTATGCAACAATTGCCACCATCCATCTCCGGAACTTTTCCATCTTCCCAAACTGCAACTCTGCACCCCTTAAACGCTAACTCCCAATTCTCCTCCCCCAGCTCCTGGCAATCCCTCTTCTATTTTCTGTCTCTGCGAGCCTGACTCCTCTGGGTACGTCATACAAGTGCAATCACATGGTATTTGTCTCTCCAGGGACTGGCTGGTTTAGCATAAGGTTCTCAAGTTTCCCTCGTGTTGTGGCATGTGACAGGATTTCCTTCCTCTTTAAGGCTGAATCATATTCCATTGTGTGAATATACTCCACTTTGTTTATCTACTCCTCCACTGATGAATAGTTGGGTTTCCACTTTTCAGCTGTTGTGAATAAAGCTGCTATGAACAAAGTATCTATTTGAGCCCCTCCTTTCAATTCTTTTGGGTGTACACCCACAAGTGGAATTGCTGGATCACGTGGTAACTCTATGTTTAACTTTTGAGGAATTGCCAAACTGTTTTTCTCAGCAACGGCACCATTTTACACTCCCGCTAGTAATCCGCCAAGGTTCCAATTTCTCCACATCCTCGCCAGCACTTGCTATTTTCCATTTTGTTTGTTTGTGTTTAAATAATAGCCACCCTAATGGGTATAAAGTGATAGCTTATTATGGATTTGACTTGCATTTTGATCTGCATCTCCCTAATGATAGTGTTGCTGAGCGCTTCTTTTCATGTGTTTATTGGCCGTTTGTGTGTCTTCTTTGGAGAAATGTCTATGCAAGTTCTTTGCCCATTTTTGAATTGGGTTGCTTGGATTTTTTGCGTTGCATTGTGGGAGTGCTCTATATATTTTTGGTTGGCAGTTTTTTCTCCCATTCCATGGGTTGCCCTTTCACTGTGTCTTTTGATGGACAACAGTTTTTAATCTTATTTACGTCCAAGTGATCATTTTTCCTTCTGTCACTTGCACTTTTGTTGTCATACCCAAGAAATCATTGCCAAAGCCAGTGTTGTGAAGCTTTTCTCCTATGTTTTCCTGTAGATTTTTTATAGTTTTAGCTTTAATATTTATGTTTCTGATCCATTTTGAGTTAATTTTTCTATATCATGTAAGGAAAGGATTCAAATTTATTCTTCAGCATATGAATATCCAGTTTTCTCGGCATTATTTGGTAAAAAGACTGCCCTCTTTCCACTGAATGATTTGGTACCCTTGTTGCAAATCATTTTGCTGTGTGTGCAAGGGTTTATTTTGGGTCCACTCAGTCACCCGCTTCCTGCCTGCAAACCCTGTGCCCCTCTGTGCTCTCTCTCCAGGAACTAACCCTGGGATCAATGGAGAAAAGTGTGTGTTTAAATAAATGAGTCCTGCCTCATTTCTGACCCTGTGCTTTCTATGTACACACACAGAGACACACTCAGACACACAGAGACACACACACTAAGACACACAGATATGCACACACAGAGACACACTCAGACACACAGAGACACACATACTAAGACACACAGATGTGCACACACACAGAGACACACATACTAAGACACACAGATACACACACACACAGAGACACACATACTAAGACACACAGATATACACACAGAGACACATACTAAGACACACAGAGACACACTCAGACACACAGACACACATACTAAGACACACAGATATGCACACACAGAGACACACATACTAAGACACACAGATATGCACACACACTGACACAGATGTACACACACAGACACACAGATATATACACAAGATAGGCACACGCAAGCACACTCCCAGGAACACGTACTCACAGATGCGCACACGGACACGCACACACACACACAAGCACACACACTCAGCAGATGTATCAGAGTGTTTTTCTGAATTTTAATTCAGAAAAATGCACTGGAAGGAGCCTGGAAGGAGTTCTTACTGCACTAAAGTAGGAGGAGACTGGTGGCCAAGAGGAAGAAGTAAAAGTGAGGAAGTAGAAGTGACCTGTCTCTGCCTAGCTGCCCCCGGGCGCTGCTGCCCTCCCTCTCACAATGGGGCTGGCTGAGTTCAATCCTCGGGCTTTGCAGACCTTAAGAATGCACGGAACATCTTTATGCTGGGAATCGGGAGGAAGAGGGATCAGCCTTGCAGAAATCCTTGGAAGACAAGACAGCAGGTCCCTTCCTCGTGTTGGGGCGGCGAATATCCAAGTTACTGGTGGAGAATCTATATGGGTCTGCAGCAGCCTCAACTCTCGTCTCCTCAGAAAAAAGAATTTGACTGAGGGGCATAAGGCAGAAAAAAGAGACCAAGGCAAGTTTCAGAGCAGAGTGGAAGTTTATTTAAAAGCTTTAGAGCAGGAAAGAAAGGAAAGTACACTTGGAAGAGACCCCAGCAGGCGACTTGGAAGTCAAGTGCCCCATTTAACCTTGATCCTGGGACTTTATACGCTAGCCCCTTTCCGGCATCTTGCGACCCTTTTCCTTCATTTTTCTCTTCGTGTGGGCTGCCTGCACGCGGTGCCCTCTTTATGCCTGGGAGGTGAGCACGTGCAGTGTGTTGACTAGAGTTGTACACCTGCTTGTCTGAGACTTTCTTACCTTTCCGGTGGAATGCCCCTGAAGGTCATGTCTCTTAATGCGCATGTCCAAGCTCACTCCCCAGATCCATGAGATTTTACTGGAAGCTTCTGACTCCCAATTTCAAGTGTTTTTATATACTGGGAAATTGCCTTTCCCTGGTGCCTGCAACCAATTATCACCTTAGTGTGACAGCTGTGGGCCACCAGGAAATTGCCTTTCCCTGGTGCTGTCTGCCAAGTCTCATTTTTAGAGAGGCAGTGTGGCAACTGCCAAACCATCACCTGATGG